CTCTTTTTAAAAGGTCTTTGTCACAGGGCATGTGCACTTGCTAAACAGAGAGAGGGAATGTGAATAATCCCCTCCCCCCCAGGGCATGGCCATGTCAGTCTCTCCTCCTCCATTCTTCTCTTCGAATTTTGGGCATGCATGCATGCACACATGCCTGGTGTGATTTCTAAGGCACCAGGTCCAGGTTCTCCACATGGAGGTCTGGTGCCTTAACCACCATACTAAACCACTGGCCCCAAATATGTATAATTTTAAAATTTCTTTCTTTCTTCCTTTATGAGAGAGAAATAGAGGGATCGTTGACAAGTCTAATCACTCCAGGATTCTCTTCCCAGTCTCGTACTTAACCAAAATCACAGATGCACCTGGGCATGTTTAGGTCAACCTGAGATCCAAATTCATCTCCCATATGGTTCCAGCACTGTGAAGCAGCATCATATCACCTATGCCACCCAATGTAGAAGTTTAAATACTCTATAACCACATTAAAAAAGAAAAGTTGAAATTAATACTTTTTAACAGACCCAAAATCTTATCACTTCAACAGACAGCTCAATATAAAAATTCTTAATGATCCATATCATACCTTCTCTTTGATACTAGCCCTTTGCAACTCGTGTATTTCTATCTTACATGTCTCAATGCAGTCCAGTCACATCTAGAACGTTTAGTAGCCACTCAGGTCTGCTGAACTAACTGCAGATCTTTTCTAGGGTACCTGACATCTTTTGACTGTTGACATGAAGACAATTCTTTTTTTCTTGAGAGAGATTGATTTTTGCTATAGGGCATGTGTGCTTGCCAAAAGAGACAAGAGACAGACAGAGACAGAAAGGGAGAGACCACTACCCCAGAGGGGATGGCAACACTGCAAACCCTTCTCCTCCATTTTCCTTTGGGGGTCTGGGGAATGCACGGACATGCGCCTGGCATGAGGTTTAAGCCGCTGGGTCCAGGACTTGAACTGCAGTTGACTATGTGGGAGGCCAGCGATGTAACCATTACACCATCTGCTGGTCCCCATCTTAAGAATCCCCATGATAGGGACCAGCATTTGGCACAATGGCTAGTTTGCTGGACTCCCATGTAGCCGACCGCAGTTCGAGTCCCGGACCCGGCGGCTTACTCACACCCGGGGTGTGTGTGTGTGTGTGTGTGCCCAAGATCCCAAGAGGAGCACGGAGGGGAAGGGACTGTGGTATGGCTATCCCCCCTAGGGGATGATTTCTCGCTTTCTGTCTCTTTGTCTGTCTGGCTAGCGCACACACCCTATAGCAAAAAAAAATAAATAATCACCTGCATTTTTTAAATATCCAGACTCAAAGAACCCACTTAGACTTACTAAATCAGAATCTCAGATTAATGACCCAGGTCTAGGGGACCTACTAAAATTTTACAAACTTAAAAAAAGGAATTATTTATTTTATTTATTATTATTTTTAAATTATATATTTAAATTTTATTTATTATTATTTTTAAAAATTTGACCAGAGAGAGAGAAAGCGAGAAAGCAACCCACCAGGTCTGGGACTCAAACTATGGTCAGCCATGTGGGATTCAGTGCCTCAACTACCACACTACCTGCTGGCTCCTATTACTATTGTTTTTATTTTGACCAGAGAGAGAGAGAAAGGAAAAGTGAGAAAGTAAACTGCCAGGTCTGGGAATCAAAATGTGGTTGACCATGTAGGAGTTCAGTGCCTTAACTATTAAGCCACCTAACAGCCCTAATTTTATAAGCTCTTAATCCTCTCTGTTTTTGTAATTGCCGGAGGGCATATGTACTAGCCAGAGAAAAGTCAGGGTTGAGGGTAGAGAGTAAACTCTACCACCCTCACATGGGACATAGCCAATTCTGCAATCCTTTTTCCTCCATTTCTCAAACATGTTGAGATTCTGGACACACATGCACATATTCCCGAAATGTTTTTCACGCTGCTGGGCCTGGGACTCAAACCATGCAGTTGGCCTTAAGGAATCTAGCCCTCTTAATCTATGGGCTGACTAAATACATCATTCAGTAGAAATCAAGTAGGTTCTGGAAACAGTCAGTCCTTAAAAGTTGGTCTTGGGGCCAGCCTGTGGTCAGGTGGTTAAAGTGGCTGGGTCTCACATGGTCAACTGCATGGTTTAAGTCCTGGACCCAGTGGCTTGAGAAATATGTCAGATGACTGTGCATACAAGCATTCCGCCAGAAGGGAGAGAGCATTGTGCTTTCTCTTTTCCCTCTCTCTTTGATGAGCACATATAAACCCAGCACAAACAAACAAAAAAGAATATATGGGCCCAATGCAAAGTAGACATCTAATAAAGGAAACTTAAAAAAAAATTTTTTTTAATCTGCCAGTGTGCACATGCGCTTGCCAAAGAAAAGATGGAGAAATCAATCCTCATCAAGGTATAGTCTTGCCATAATCCTTTTTCCATCATTTCTCTCCATCCTGTCAGGATTTTGGGCATGCACACACATGTGCCTGGCATGATTTTCAAGCCTCTAAGACCTCCTTGAACCATGCATCTGGCCATGTGGGATCTGGCTTTCTTAACCATCAGTCTAGGCTGGAAACGGTTTTATTAATACTAACTTCTACATAGTCTATATTCAATTCAATCCATGGCCTCTTACACTTGCTTCTGTTAGGACTGGTTTGTGAAACTAAGTGTTGAGAAGTTTTGTTTTGTTGCCATGGACATGTGCTTGCAGGAGAAAGGACTGTGAGGTAGGGGCTGGGGGAGGGAGTGAAAATAAGAAAGCACTCCCTAGGGGGGATGAGCAATCCCTTATCCTCCTCTCTCCTGGGCATTTTGGGCACACACACATATGTGGCCAGTGTTTTTCTCATGCTACCAGGTCTGAGACTCCAACTGTTCAATCAGCTATGTGGGATCCAGTCTCCTTAACCACCATGCCACCAGGCTGGCCTGAGAAATTTTCTGCTAGTGTATCTGGGAGATATTTCCACCCTCTAAAGACTAACTCAACATCTGTCTCCTTCCCTGTTTTATTTATTTATTTTTTTTCATTTTTTAAAACAAACTAAACCACTACTTACCTGCTGGCTTATGGCAAAAAGCTATTGGTTTACAAAAAAAATTTATCTGGGGGGGAACCAGCAGTTAGCATAATGGCTATGTCGCTGGATTCCCATGTAGTCGACCGCGGTTCACGCCCTGGACCTGGTGGCTTAAAACTCAGGCCGGGTGCGTGTGCGTGCGTGCCCAAGATCCCGAGAGGAGAATGGAGGAGAAGGGACTGTGGCGTGACCACCCCCACTGGGGGGTGATTTCTCGCTTTCTATCTCTATGTCTCTCTCTCTGTCTTTCTGGCGAGCGTACATGCCCTATAGCAAAATCTCTCTCTCAAAAAAAAAATTTACCTAGGGGGACCAGCAGTTAGCGTAATGGCTATGTTGCTGGACTCCCACGTAGTCGACAGCGGTTCACGTCCCGGACCCGGTGGCTTAAAACTCACGTTGGGCGCGTGTGCGTGCGTGCCCAAGATCCCGAGAGGAGAACGGAGGAGAAGGGACTGTGGTGTGGCTATTCCTCCTGGGAAGTGATTTCTCACTTTCTGTCTCCCTGTCTGTCTGGTGAACGCAAGCGCCCTATAGTGAAAACCTCTCCAAAAAAAATTTTTTTTTTATCTATAGAATCCTTTAAAATCTGTATGTAACTTTACAAAGGTTGGTTAGTGACATTTCAGGCAGGTGACTTAAACCCTAATTTAATGTGATCAACACAAATGTGGTCTTACTATATTAGGGAGAAGAGTGAAATTTTCAAATGTAGTTTATGAAGGAATTTCATCTATATCGGTATTATCTATCTGTACAAACACAACAAAATATATAGTACATGGGTCAGCAGTTAGTATGGAAGTTGGTCCCTGGATCCCATACAGCCGACTTTATGGTTCTCGGACTTGGTAGCTTGAGGATCACACCACGCACATGTGTGTGCACACCACGCACATGTGTGTGCATGCCCAAAATACCAAGAGGAGAAAGGAGAAGGAACTGTAATGAGTCTATCCTTCCTAGGTGGATGATTTCTCACTTTCCCTCACTCTGTCTCAGTCGGTCTCCAGTGAGTACATGTCCTATGGCAAATATCTTTAAAAAAATAAAAAGCCTTTCTTTATTCATGTATCATGTGTGTAGCATGTGTGTGTGTGTGTGTGTGTGTGAGAGAGAGAGAGAGAGAGAGAGAGAAATAAAGGGAGAAGGGGAGGGAGATAGAAGCATCTCCATTGGGTTTGGTCACACTCCTCCAATCTTCTAGCTCACAGGATCTGGAACACCTGGGCACAAGACCAGTATATTTTAGGTCAACCAGGGCAGAGATTCAGCAGAACATTACTGTTGTCCCATGGAGTAGGCCCAAGTCATAAAGTGAAAAAATTCCAGGGATTATTTTTTACGGACCTTCACCAATTTAATCTCTCATTACAAGTTCATTTCCTGTATATGGTCATATGAAATCACCCATATGAAATAGTTTTTATTTCATCCTTTGCTTCTCATCTAGGCACATTCCAGAGCATTGTTTCCCCTCCCACTCTCACCCACTCCTATCCAAACCCTCCACCCTGACAATGGCACAGGGAGCTTTTCCTAACTACCACCCTCTTCTGAACTAGGGAGCCACTATTTGTACCTTTCGCAGGGTGCTAAATAATATATCACCTCATTCTATAATATACCTTTCCATATGAATTATGTAGAATTTCAGTCTCCAAAGTATAAGGGCTCTTGAAAAAATTCACAGAAAATGTATATTATGAAAAAGTTAAGCATGGACTTCACAATTTTTTGTACTAAAATAAACTTATCCTTTAATTCCACATTTTCATGAACTTTTGGAGGTCCCCTTGTATGTTTCTATAACACAATTTTGTATCTGATCCTTCTAACAACCCTGAGAAAGGTAGCTGCAAAGCAAGATTCTCATTTTCACAGATGAAGAAATATTTTTCAGAGGTTAAAAGGACTACCATAGCTAGCTTTGCGCAGTGGCAGTATCGTAGCCAATGAGGTTTATCCGAGGCGCGATTATTGCTAATTGAAAACTTATTGCTAATTGAAAAGGACTACCATAGCTAATGGCTCAAATGTATGAATTCAAATCCAAAAGTATGGATTCAAATCCAGCTTAATTCTTGTTCTTCACGTGATAAGACAGATATGAATACTTAGAATTTGTTGGTTCTCAAATAGCATACAGCACCCTAGCAAATGTCATAGGGGCACTTTGAGACTTGAAATATTTAAGAGAAATACAATAATTAATACTTGGTATCTGTCAGGTACTGAGTGTACCGCCAGCTTAAAATACTCATAGTTTTAACATTAGATTGCTCTACTTTCCTTTTGAGGGTCTATTTTTGTGAAGCTTGATCTTCAGAGGTTGCTATGGTAAGAAGTAAGTACTGTGACAAAAATCAATGTGGAACAGGAAATGAGGGTGGTGGTATCCAACCTACATTTAAGAAGCTGTAGAGTGACTAACAGGTATATACATACACCAGTTATTAAGTAATTATGGCTATATAAGAATTAAAATTGTCTTGGGAACCAGCAGTTAGCGTAATGGCTATGTCGCTGGACTCCCACGTAGTCGACCGAGGTTCATGTCCCGGACCCGGTGGCTTAAAACTCATGCCAGGTGCATGTGTGCCCAAGATCCCGAGAGGAGAATGGAGGAGAAGGGATTGGGGCGTGACCATCCCCCCTGGGGGGTGATTTCTCGCTTTCTGTCTCTATGTCTCTGTCTGTCTGTCTGTCTGTCTGGCGAGCGCACGCGCCCTACAGTGAAAATCTCTCCAAAAAAAAAAAGTAAAAAAAAAAAAAAGAATTAAAATAGTCTTTTAATTAACTTATTAAATGGCTACAAAATTGTTAAAACATAAATACTTAGTTATATGAACATAGCTACTTAATATACAGAATTACTAGGTAGGTCCTTTTTTTTTTTTTTTTTGAGAGAGATTTTCGCTATAGGGCACATGCGCTCTCGGGATCTTGGGCACACATGCACCTGGCATGAGTTTTAAGCCACCGGGTCCAGGAAGCGAACCGCGGTCAACTACGTGGGAGTCCAGCAACATAGCCATTATGCTAACTACTGGTACCAGTAGTTCCTATTTTTTAAGTAATTATTTATTAAATTTTATTTATTATTATTATTTTAATTTGACCAGAGAGACAGAGAGAGAAAGGGAAAGTGAGAAAGCAAGCCACCAGGTCTGGGATTCAAACTACGATCAGTCATGTGACAGTCAAGTGCCTTATCCACTATGCCACCTGCTGGCCCCCATCAGACAGTTCCTTTGGCTTAGGGGTACCATGAAGAAACTGAGACAATGTAAATGCCATAAATCAATCAAGTTTGGGAACGTCTGCCTCTCTGTCAAATATGGAAAAGTTTCTGTGGTAAGAAACTATAAGCTAGGTTCCTGATATATGACAGTGCACAGTATAGTTATAACTAAATTAAGTTGCATGTTGATAGCCCTTAGGACAAATCTGGCTTGTGAAGTTTTGTTTTTGTTTTTGTTTTTTTTTAAATTTTGGGGCCAGCCTGAGGTCTGGTGGTTAAGGCACCTGGATCTTACATGGATATATGTGAGTTTTGACTCCCAGACCTAGAGGCTTGAGAAACACTCAGGCACATGTGCATGTATGCTCAAAATCCTGAAAAGAGGAAGAAAAGACCCTGGGGCTTGACCACCCCCCTATATGGAAAGGCAGTGCTTTCTCACTTTGCCTCTCTTTCCTTGCCTCTCTGGGGAGCACACACGCTCCCTGGTTAACAAAAAAATGACAAAACAACTTGGGGCCATCAGGTGGTGTGGTGGTCAAGGTGCTAGAGATTCCCACATGGCTGATGGTGGGAGGCTTGAAAATCACACTGGGCGTATAAGTGTGTGTGCTTAAAATCTCAGGAGGGGAATAAAGGAAAAGGGATTGTGGCATGTCATTCCCCCCCCGGCCCCCCAGGGTGATTTCTCATTTACTCTCTCTGGAGAGCTCATGTACCCTATGGCAAAAATCTAAAAAAAACAAAAAAACAAAAAACAACAACAACAAAAAACTTGAGCCAATATGTAAAAATCAGGAGAACTGACATATGTATGACTTCTCTTTGCAAAATAAGAGTATCAAGCAACAATGGACTCCTATTACTACAGGCCAATAATCAGCTAGAGCTAAGAAGTAGCCACCTCTTTAAGAGACATGTGCTTCCCAGTTTGCCTTAGATTCTACTACTCATATTACCCAAGCACGTGCAATTACACCAAACTGGCCGCACTGATATCTGCTTGCCCCAACAAGGCCTATTCTCTTGGATTCTTTTTTTTTAAAAAATAATAATTATTATTTTTTTATTTATTCATTCATTTATTTTTTAATTTGACCAGAGAGAGACAGAGGGTGAGAGTGAGAGAGAGAGGAAGTGAGAAAGCAAGCCACAAGATTCAGGACTTGAACCTTGGTTGGCCATGTGGGAGTGTCCAGCGCCTTAACCACCATGCCACCTGCTGGTCCCTCTATTGGATTCTTCAGCCTTATAAAATAGAAGTAATGATTCATATATTGAAAACAAAAGCATGGGACACAATTAAAACAAAAACAACAACAACAGGAAGCTGGGGCCACTGGGTGGCATAGTGGTTAAGGGCGCTGGACTACAGGTGGCTGACTGTGGTTCAAGTTCTGGAACCGACAGCTTGCTTTCTCTCTCTCTCTCTCTCTCTCTCTCTCCCTCCCTCCCTCCCTCCCTCTCTGGTCAAATTAAAATAAGTAAATACATGAATAGAGTTAAATAATTCTTAAAACAACAACAAATAGGAAGTCAATATTAGGCAAGACCCAGCAAAACACTGTAACTTCCTTCCTAGGCTACAACCTGGCTGTATAACTTGAGTCAAAGTCCATCTCTTACCTCAGTTTCCTGATTTGTACATAAAATGAGTATAACCTGTTCCATTGACTTCCTAGGATATAATAGTAATTAAAAAAAAAATACTAAGCTATGCCAAAGACCTTCCAAATACTAGTTCTTTAGAGTATCATTTAAAGGATCAGCCGACAGTATAATGGTTATGTCACTGGACTCCCATGTAGTTGATTGTGATTCGAGTCCCAGACCCAGTGGCTTAAAACTCATGCCGGGTGCCATGTACATGCATGCCAAAAATCCTGAGAGGATAATGGAGTAGAAGGGACTGCATCCCCTCTGGGGGTTGATTTTTTGCTTTCTGTATTTATCTCCCCAGTGAGTGCACGTACCTTATAGCAAAAAACAAACAAACAAAAAAACAAAAAACCCTCCCCACAAAAAAACCCCTATCATTTAAAACAATTTCTATTCCAAAATACCTTTGAAATTATTTTTGCTTTTCTTACACTCACCTTGAGAATTTTAACAACTACTTTTTCATTATTTGTAATGTTGATGGCTTCAAATACTTCACTGTATTTGCCCCGGCCTAATTTTCGAACCAGCTGGTAGTCATCTTGATTTCTGTGGATGAAAAAAGTCAAAATCACAATTAAAACAGTAAAAAAAAAAAGCATAAATTCAGCTTATAAAACTCTATTACCAATAGGAATAATAGAATAATAGTATTTCAGATAATCCCAAATTGATTTCATATTTATTAAAAAAAAAAAAAAATCAAGCCAGTTAAAAATGTGTGGGTGGACCATAAGCTGATGTAATGGCTATGTCACTGGACTCCCATGTACGTGACCACGGTTCGAGTTCCACACACGGTGGTTTAAACTCACACTGACTGTGTGCGTGTGTGCCCAAGATCCCGAGAGGAGAATGGAAGAGAAGGGATTGAGGCATGGCCATCCACCCCCTCCCCCGGGGGTGATTTCTCACTTTCTGTCTCTTTCTCTCTTCCTTTCTGGCAAGTGCATGTGCCCTATAGCAAAAAACCTCTTAAAAAAAAAAAAGTGTGGGGGCCAGCAAGTGATGTGGTGGTTAAGGCACTGAACTCCCACATGGGGGAACATGGTTCGAGTCCCAGACCCAGTGGCTTGAAAATCACACTGGGCACATGAGTGTGTGCATGTGTGCCCAAAACAATCCCGAAAGAAAAATGGAGAAGGGATTACAGTATGGCCACGCCCTTTAGGGGGTGATTTCTCACTTTCCCTCTCTGTTTCTCTTTGGCAAGTGTATGTGCCCTATGGCAAACATGTAAAATAAATAAGTCAATGAATATGTGTTCTTGGGTCAGCAAGATGTGTGGTGATTATGATGCTAGACTCCCACGTGGCCAACCTTGGTTTGAGCCCTGGACCCAGCAGCTTAAAAACATACTGGGCTCATGTGAATGAGTGTCCAAAATTTTGAGAGGAGGGGGCCAGCAAGTGGTGTGGTGGTTAAAGCACTGGATTTCCACACGACTGACCACAGTTCAAGTCCCAGACCTGGTGGCTTGAAAATCACAATAGGTGTGTGTGCATGTGTACCCAAAAACCCAAGAGGAGAATGGGGGGAGAAAACGTGTTTGTCTCCAACAACAGAAAGGTTTCCCTTAAAGAATAAATTTTATAAATTCCTGCCCCATAGTATCTGGCCCAGTGCTGGCATTCATTTTTTTTCTTTAAGGATATTTAACTTCAGTCACACTTTAAAGTTCACAAACTACTCTATAGTTCCTTAGGGATTTTCTCTACTTTTATACATATACCACGACCAGTAAAAAATATCAGAGGTAGGGGCCGGCAGGTTGGTGTGATAATTAAGGTACTGGACTTCCATGGAGCAGACCATGGTTCCAAATCCCAGACCTGGTGGCTTTAAAATTACTTGGGCATGGTTACATGCGTGCCCAAGATCTCAGGAGGGGAATGGAGAAGCACGGATTGTGACATGGCTATCCTCCCCTGGGGAGTGATTTCTAACTTTTTCTCTCTCTGGCAAGTACACATGCCCTATGGCAAAAACCTAAAACAAATAAACAAAAACCCTAAGGTAATAAATAGAGGTAAAGAAGAACTAAGGAAATGCTATTCATTATCTTCAAGAAAATAAAAAGAAACTTGAAGCAGCTAAAAAGCGAGTGTATACAGAGGGCAAAAGATACTAAGAACAATGGATAATTTAACAATCATAGTA